TTTTTTTTCTAAATAATTAAAGACAGATGACTTGTGTCCTAAAAATGTCCACAGTGAAATTACAGTCTATATCTGGACTAGAAATGTAGCCTTAGTGCAGAGTTTTTAGTTGTGACTGAATGGCCTTTAGATATTTATCTTCCTGTTTAGTTCTTGGAAGGTCTGACTGCAGCTTTACTGAATATGAGCAGTGTGCGGGAACCATGGAAACAACCAGACGGTGTCCCAGTGGACACAGGGGCCGCCTCTGTGACATCAGACTCAGGTGTGACATCATTAACCAGGGTGTGATGGAACTGCACACACATGAGGTGTTCAAGAAAACCGAGGGAGAAATAAAGTCCACTTTCCGTACCTGAAGGAGGGACTGAATAAGGACAGTGTCGTCACCGGGGGGCAGATAGAAATGTTGCCTGGTCAGAGAACGTGTGTCGTCTCCACTGATGCTAAAGTTGGAAACTTCCCTGCTGGCAAAGTCATGTAGCCCTGTGATGTCACACGGTAACTATGAAATGAACGGTGAAGTAATGAGGCTGTAAATGGGGCAGGCGACTACATGCGTAGCTGCGGACTAAAATAGAAGGCAGGCCTTGACCTGGAATTACTGTGTGGGTCACATGACCTTAAATCAGCAAAGTTCAGAGCCAAATTAGGAGCATCACTTCTTCAGCTTCAAGCATGACGTTACTGCTGTTGAATATGCTGTGGTCAGCTGTATCAGAGATTGCAGTATTACTATATACAGAATGTCAAGTTTTGGCCCCTTCAACCTCCCTTAATTAAATTTCCTTTTAGATACTAAGGAGGGACGTTGATGTTCTTTCTCTTGAAACACAGTTTGTAATGTTACTTGCATGGTGGGATTATTAATAACTGTAGGATATCTTTAAAGCAGCTATACTCAGTGTTTCTATGTTAATGAATCACATGACTACTTGTATGAGAAAGTGGTCGCTCATAGTGACAAATCCAGAAAGAGTTCAGACGCAACACTTCCACTATGTCGTGTGCTTCAGCTCTTTGTTTTGGTTTTCACAACTTTACTGTTTTGGTTCAATCCGCTGCTTTCGTCAGCGTTCCCGCTGCAGGCAGCAGCTGTCAGCAAAGCAAACACTTAAAACTCACTGGATGCCTGTCTTCAACACCAAACAGTGGACAGACAAAGAAAGCTGCTCATCCAATGACGCATTTAGCTGCTAAAGAGCCAGATTTTCACATCAGGAGTTGGTGGAGAACAAAACAGAGCAAAGGGAAAATGGTTATCGGACTGCCAGAGACACAGCTCCAAATACATTTTGATGTTGCTCCTTATGTTTGTACTGCTGGATACGTCAATCGGCCAATGTTTGCTAACAATTTTACCATATGCTTCCACCATAACCACATGTCACTGGTCTGTTTACAACTTGTTTCTCTGCACTCAAGTGGCAAAAAAACAACTTCTAACAATGGAGGTTTGATTTTGTAGAGGGCAAGGGTGAAAGTTGTTTGTGCTTCTTACAGATAACTTATCATTCTATAAAATGGTGACAAACATATTTTTTTATTTAACTGTGACGAAGACAGACACACTCAATCTGATCAACTCACATCTTTATTGACATGGCACACTGAACAGTGCATTTTCCAGTGTGCACTCGTGTTGAAGGTTTAAGATGAAACATCTTGCACAGGTATGTTTTACAACCCGTGATGCCAACAAGTACAAGAGTTGAACCGACTGCCCTGACACTGTATCACCACCACTGTTCTGATGACTGATTTTTAAGCCACAGCCACTCTCTCTTGGACAAATATCTCTGTCTATACTTAGCCTTGACATATCTGGGCCTGCCACACACAGAGCCATATGTTTCCTCTGGCCACCGCATGTCAGCCCATCTGCACATTTAGATCTGCAGGACAGTGAGTATGCAGGCTGCATGAGAAACCCAGAGACTGACAGGCTGAACTCAGTGAACAAACAGCAAAACTGCCTGTGTCATGAAAAACATCCGGAAAAATAGAAGCTTCCTAAGTTACAGTGACAGTTTTAAGGTGACTCTTCAAGAGAAAGCAAGCAGGAATCAGCCTGATTTAGCTGTTGACCTTAAAATGATCCTGAATGCTTTATTCCCACGTTGTTTTTTAATAATAACTTGTATAACTTTACTTATCTATATACTCACTGAGACTTGATGCAATCTGACAAATTGTTTTAATTTCCCCTTCTGTCAAAGGTATTGAAAGGCGAGAAAAGATAAAACCGGATTTGACATTCCTTCAAAAACATTCAAAAACTTTGCCTGTGATGTAAGATTCGCTGTCTTCATAAACAGCCTGACAGACGCTAGATTACCCTGCACGCAGGATACCAGCGTCAGCTTAGTTTGAGTGTTGTGCAGCGTGGCCGGAGTGCGTTCCTCCATCAAGCTGTTTCCTTTAGATATCACAGAGGTGAAGCGTGGGTACTGAGGCTATCGTGACTGATAACACACACACACACAAGGTCACACACACTTTCTCTGGTTTGTTTTGAGAGACAGAATACTCCGCACAAACTGCACTTTCACTCATGCCTGTGTTTTTCCTCGGTCTAATTGGAGTCCCTACTGTACTGAGCCAGCATAGGGAGAGAACATATCCATATTAGGAAAAGAGCAGACGTCCTTATATGGCACGCTTCCTCCGTAGTAACGGCCCAGTCTGCTGGCTTCTTTCTTGCATTCCTCCAGCTCCAGGTTTCTCTGGGAGTTTTTCATTTCCGATTCGCTGGCTAGAGAAGGAGCAGGGCCGCCTTTCATAAGAGTCTGGCCTGGTGTGCGATCCCCTTTTTCAAAAAAAAAAATACAGAATACACAAACCTCCGTCTAGCCTCTTTCCTGCAATCCTCCACTCTGGGGTTTGATGTAGTAAAATAAGCCTGGCCAGGGACAGGGCACACCTGGCCTTTCAAGTCGCTCATAGACTAAACCTCATTAGGCAGGTGAGAATCAGGAGAACATGGAGTCTTTTTTCCTGTTGTATCTATGCCCACACGAGCTGGGATGCACTTTCACCTAAGTCGACTCAGGATTTTTAATTTGTCCTCTAAGACCCAGTGGAGTCAAAACTCTCAAACGTGAAACTAAATCCTCAGCGTTTGTGTTCAGCAAAATCCTCTGAAAAATGTTGCCCTTGCACAAAATCAGCCTGATAATGCTCAAATCAACAAACATCCATTTTGGGAAATGCCATTAACTGAGAACATTAGTCTTCATCCCCCAAATTCCCCGTCCTGCATACCTTGGCAGGGCCGTGCATTTTAGCTCAGGTATCTCAGGAGATTGACCATCAGGATCATCTTGTAGTATTCAGTCACAGAAATAAATCACTGTAAGCTTGAATAGCACATGTTACATTTATCATTCGTTGAAGCTGTCAGGATAGGTTTTGACTTTCATAATTTATTGCATCACAGAGGGAAATCTAAATAAAGAGGGGGTTTTGGATGCTCAAACTAACCTGGATTATTGTAATTTATGTCGGACTGATGGGTTCCAGTTTGCAGTGGTGATTTTTTATGTATGGCTATAAAAAAAGCAAAGTACATGTACTTTGACTATATCTGTTTGCAGTATTTTACACTTTCATTCTGCTCTTATTTATTTCCCCACAATTGTTTGACAACCGAAGTAAGTAAACACTCTTCAAAAACAGATTTCACATTGAAATTTAAAGCTTGAAGGTTATAGTATCTCCCAATCTTTTTTACATGAGACCCCTCACTCTAAAGCATTGTGGGGCCACTTTGTTCATAATGTCTCACACTGAAGGCCCCAGAACTTCTAAGATTGAAAAAAATACAAATATGTGAAGCAGTAACCTAGTTTTTCTTGTACTTTTATAATAATCTTAAGATTCATTGACCTCTAGTTTAGGAACCATTGCAAACTGCCTACAGCAGATGTAAATGAAGTTACATCCACCTTAAGCAGGTAAAACAGTATAATACCACTTATGCATTGATGTAACACAATGAGCAATAATTTAATACAAACAAATCACTTACAGACAGGGTGCTGATTCTGGTATTTTTACTGATACAGCACTTTTACTTATAATGCAGTATTTTTAGATTGGGGTATTTTTACTTTTACACCAGGGTGACTTCATAAATGAGTCTGTATGTGCTTTATAATTTCAAAGTCACTGAAATGAGGTCATGACAATATAATCTGTTTATGATGCGTATCCTACAAAAGGGATTTGTGATCACAATGCTTCATTCATTCGTGCTTGTGCGCCCACATGTGTTTAAATGAGTATTACTCCGAGATGCAACTCAGCCACTGATGTCAGGGGACAAAAATGCCACTGCAGTGTCCCAGACATAACCGCACATGTACAGAAGACAAAGCTGATCGGCAGCCCTCGCCAAGTGTCTGAGCTGGAACAAGCACCTTGATAGATAACCAGGCTCCAGTTACTAGCGCGGATGGATTTCCTTTTCCCTGCAGCTCACTGTTAATTTATCAAAGTAGAGACGGTCTCTGTGCCTTTGAAAGAAAATGCAGAGGAATGCTGTCATGGGCTTAAAATCTTAACCACTCATTACACATAAATCCGTTTATACGCCAATGCATGTGTATACATTTTTATGAGTTTACACCCGTTGTTTGTAACTGCTCGTCTTTCATGTGAGGCTCTTTGTGCTTTACTTTTTGAACCACCATCAAGGTTTTTTTTTTTTCTCATCTCCTTCTTCTTTTTTTTCTAAATTAATATTTATAGGTACCGGCTGTCTGTTTGTGAAGTCAGTCTTCAGGAATTCCCAGTGTGGGGTCCCTGGTCTCTAACCAGACTTAACCTCCCATTCCAGATGAAAGCTGCTCCGAGAGAGAGATGGTGTTGTTTGGCCGAGCAGCAGAGCCTTGCCTTCAGACAGCAGGAATGTGGGATGTCTGGAGTGGGGGTCAGGAAGCGAGGAAAGAATGCCAAGTATGTCCATGTTTGTCCAGGGCTGGCTCTCCATTCAGCCCCCAGTGACGTGCAGCGAGGGCCAGCGAGTATAAAGGGAGCTCGCCTCTCCGGTCAGAACTCAGATCAACTCTTCTACCGAAGCTAAACTCTAGCTTTCACCACGAACGAAAGACAGAAAGAAAGACCGTGACCGGAGCCACTAGACGAAACCAGACAAGAGATCAACTTGATCAGAAGAGGTTTCTCGAGCTCAAACTCAAAGACGAAAGGAAGACCTCCTCATCTTAAGACTTAAGGAAAAACTACAACCTATTTCTACAAGGAAGAAAAGATGTCTGCTGGAATGAAGAAAATTATTTTGCTGCCTTTCCTGTGCATCATGCTCTCATACCTGGTAAGGAAAAAGAAAATGACTTTATAGTGTTTTTAGTTTAAGACAATTGAGTCTTGGCTTCACACAAGCTCCAATCTTAACAGACATTTAGGTCTCAGTGTGCTGGATGTATATCTGTAGCTATAATGCGACATCTGGATTTGATACTTACCCGCTGATTATTTACCTCAGGCTGCAGGTCAGGAGTGCAGCGGCCAGTGCTCGTGCCCCTCCACTCCCCCTCAGTGCGCCCCGGGAGTGAGCCTGGTGCTGGACGGCTGCGGCTGCTGCAGGGTGTGCGCCAAACAGATGGGGGAGCTGTGCACCGAGAAAGATGTCTGTGACCCACACAAAGGCCTCAACTGCGACTTCGGAGCCCCCATCAACAGACGCATAGGAGTCTGCACAGGTGAGCCACTGGCAAAAAAAAAAAGGATTTTTCTGTGACATCCTTTCTGTACTTCTACTTCAAAATGTCTGCATAGTGTCCAAACTGAAATCATGACCTTTTCCCCTGTCCTCTCCCCCACAGCTCGAGATGGCGCCACCTGTGTGTTCGGAGGAATGGTGTACAAGAGCGGAGAGACTTTCCAGAGCAGCTGCAAGTACCAGTGTACCTGTCTGGATGGAGCTGTAGGCTGCGTTCCTCTTTGCTCCATGGACATCCGACTGCCCAGCCCTGACTGCCCCATGCCCAGACGGGTGAAGGTGCCAGGGAAGTGCTGCGAGGAGTGGGAGTGCGATTCTCCCTACAGACACAGTATCATGGGCTCTGTTCTACCTTGTAAGTCAGTCTTCATAAAGTATTCTATTATTTCTGCTCAAATGAGCTATAATCAGGATGGTCTTTCTAATCCATGGTTTGCTCCTGTGTTTACAGCCTACAGAGTGGAGGAGACCTACGGCCCAGACCCCTCCTTGATGAGGGAGAACTGCCTGGTTCAGACTACTGAATGGAGCGCCTGCTCTAAGACCTGCGGCCTTGGCATCTCCACCAGGGTCACCAACGACAACCACGATTGCCGCCTTGAGAAACAGACCCGACTGTGCATGGTGCGACCCTGCGAGTCACAGCTGGAGCAGAGCATCAGGGTGAGTTTTTGTTCAAGTGCACCTCTCTCACAATCTCTTTAGATGAAAAATATGAGCACCTGAGTTAAAGAACACCTGCTGATGTTGTTTTTTATTTTCCTCCTGCAGAAAGGGAAAAAATGCATCCGCACTCCCAGACTCTCCAAGCCCATGAAGTTCGAGATCTCCGGCTGCACCACCACCAAGTCCTACAGGCCAAAGTTCTGCGGTGTGTGTCTGGATGGCCGCTGCTGCACCCCCCACAGGACCACCACCCTGCCCATGGAGTTCAAATGCCCCGATGGGCAGGTCATGAAGAAGCACATGATGTTCATCAAGTCCTGCGCCTGCCACCACAACTGCCCTGGGGAGAACGACATCTTCGAGTCCATGTATTACAAGAAGATGATGGGAGACATGGCCTGAGCCAGTGAGGGACGATCAGAGCTTATGACTTGAAGAAAAAAACAAAACAGAACTCCATCTCATTTTGCAGCTCAGTATATATGTTTTTGTCATGTTTTATTTTGTCATTGTTAAAGTAGACCAGACACTTGTCTAAGTGCCTGTGTATTCTATGGCTGGAGCATATCGGCCACATAGACTCAGACAGAGGGTTGCATAGCAACTCCGAGAGATTCCTGCACTATAACTTCTACTTTTGACAAACCTGCTGCCAGGTTTTCCACCCATTCCCCTTGAATTATTTTTTTCAAACCCATCCAGTTTTTTACAGTTTGCATTTTTATACCTTATCTAAACCTTGACATCTTCTAAAAATGAGGTGTCTGATAACTCCCCCCACCCCCAGAGCCCAGACCAGACCTGCAAACTCTAAGCAGCTGTAGAGGGAGCACGCAGACCACAGCAGGCCAGTGTTCCCCTGTCCAAACAGGTCTGAATGTGTCCTTGTGTGTGTGCGTGTGTGTGTGTTTGTGTTAGGCTGAATGTCAGCCTTGTCTGTACAGATGCTTTGCACTCTCCTCACAGAGTAGAGGAAAGGTCAGAGTTTCCGCCCAGCATGTGGATGAGAAAGCAGCAGCGTGCTGAGTTTAGGGTTAGATATGGAACAACAGTGGGCTTTGCCACAGCACTGAGGAAAAAACAACTGTCAACACATGTTGACTTTTATTATAAAAAAAGATACGACTATTACTGATTCAGGTCAGAAGGAAGAAACCAAGTGTTTATAGAAACTATTTTGTAAAAGAAATAGGAGAAAAGACTGGAAGAATTGCAATTTCATTCCTTTTTTATTGTTGATGTGTAAATGATGTATATATTTGTACAGTTTAAGTTAATTTAAAAGCCAAATTTGTTCTGTGCTTCGAAATGTATCGATAGTGTATTTTTTGTCGACAATATTTTTCACTATTTTATTGAGAAGTGTGACAAAAATGTTACATGTTTTACTTTGTAGCTGGAAATAAAATGTTATATATTTTTATACAAACATCTTCTCCTGTTGTTGTCTTTTAGTTTGCTCGCTATGCCAAGATTACTATATCTTCAAAACTGTTCTACACTCTCAGCACATGTATTGCTCATTTACATAAAGGACTCACATGTTAGCAACATATATGACAAGAGCATAGTTTTTCACATTTCAGATATTGCAAGTAACGGATAATAATGAACACAAATGTAATTTCTCCAGAGTCACTCTGTCAGTATGTCAGATCTGCAGCTGAGAGTGACTAAAACCAGGAAAATTGGTTTATAATGAATTAGTTTTCTTTCTAATTAGGCTAATTAAAATAATCTGTAATCCTGTAATATTCTATGACTGATCCCCACGTGTGTGTGTGTGTGTGTGTGTGTGTGTGTGTGTGTGTGTGTGTGTGTGTGTTGGTTATTCCTCTCTCTTGCATAATGACCTACTTCTTCAGGAAACAAGCAAATTCAGGAAATGTTTGTTAAACCTGAAAAACACATAGAACCAAACATTGTTTTTTTCACATCAGACAATGTGGAGAAAAATAAACCTGATTCTAAAAAAAAAAAGATGATGCAAAGTATCTGCAGTTTTCAAACCTCTCTGAAAGAGCTCAGAGGACTGAGGCAGTGTGATGTCGCCATCTGGTGTCCTTTTAATTTTCCTTAATATTCTATATTTTATAACCTCCAGGTTGTGCAGCTCCGTCATCTCCACAGCCTTAAATTTATAACTGAACCAAAGAATAACTGAAGAATTATTATCTCTGTAGATATAATAGTTGGTCAAACAGCGTAATGCTCCAAATATAATGTATATCCCACAAGTTTTGTAACCACTGTTGAGTCATCAATTCATCCGTCCATTTGTCAACCTTAATTTGTACTTCAATCATTTTCATTGTTCATCAGTTGTACACCAAGATAAGAATGTTTATATCTGTCACGATTGATAATAATCACGATAAATGTTAGATTATTATTTTGGTCCGGGTTACAGACACAGATTTTTTGTAGTTTTTCCTCACTCTTGTCTTGTTAATGGCCGAGGATGTCACACCTTGTGACACCAAATTGTGATTTGAGAATATGGGCTTTGCAAATAAAATTTGATTGATTGAAATAATATTTTTATACATATTGGACTTGCATTAATTACTGATATTGTTTTGTTGCCCAGTCATAGCCAACTGTTTATAATAAACACAAAACCAATTGATTTTTAGCAGCTATTCATTTTCTTGCAGATGAAAACTTGATAAGTCACTCTTTTCTTTTCTTCATCAGGTTTTTTTGAAACTCTGTACTGTCACCTTTCAATCCATTTCCTTATTTCTATATTTACCTCTGCTCAGGAGCTCTTAACATAACAATCTCCAATAGAGAACAAAGAGTTTTAACACTTTGATTGAAATCTGCACACTGAGTATTCCCTCCTAATATCAACGACCAAAGTTAAAATGTTGTTGTCTTAGAAATGAATACATGCACTGTATAACCAGCTTGTGTGTGAGCGATGATTCATGTTATCAGCTCCATCGCCCACAGACACAAACAGGTTCAGATTGAGACTACAGTGTGAATGAATGTCTCTGTAGATGGAGAAGCTACATCCACTATGGGCTGTGGGAGTAAAAAATACAGTCTAGTTCAAATAAATGCACACATCATCGCTCTGAGTTCATTGCATTGATTCCATTATTCATGTACGTGATTTTAATTCAGACAAAGAATTTACCAAACAGATTTCCAGGTACAATTTATTTTTTCTTACATAAATCTCATAAAGTGTCAGATTTCAGCCATGTATCTGCTAAAAATGTTCACTTATTGCCTTGGCTTGATTAGATTCAACTGTATCTATAATAATAGTAATAATAATAATGATATTGATAATAAACAAGCATGTATCTTCTTCCTTATACGCCAGTAAGCATCTCAGAAAGAGCTGTAATCTAATGCCATAACTGTACAACCTCACCATAGCGGTGTGTGTGTTTACCTGGATCTGCCTTAACCTTTCACATAAATCAGTGTGCAGAGTTAAAAGAATCTGAAAGCAGGCGACGCAGGTTTGCAGAAGAACAAAGATGATTGTCAGAGAAAATGAAGGAAAACGCGTTGTCGACCTTCACTGACAGAAAGAGTGTTTTTTTTCCTTTGGGAGCCTTGCTGAATATTCTAAATAATAAATGCACGATTCAATGCACAGAACCCGTGCCTCTGTATGCTTTAGTATGCATGTCTAGTTGCAGTGTGCATCTACCGTGTTTGCTACTCTACGCGAGGGACAGAATGTCAGGGGGGAGGCTGCAGCGGTGCGGACTTCCTCGAGAAAAACAGCGAAAGATAAAAAGTTGTCACATATTCACACGCTCTATCTGTGGAAACCAGGCAGCTGGTGAAGCGGAGGAGGACGAGGAGGCAGAGGAGGTTGCGGTGTCAACTCTGTAGCAGTCTCTCTCTCTCTCTCTCTTAGCCGCGACGCAGCTCATGGAGTTTCTGGGCGACGTTTTCCAGCTCTGACTCGATGGCTGCCAGGCTTTCAATTTCCGGCTCCTGTAAAGAGAATGGGAGGAGAGCAAGTCGGAAAAATATAACTACAGTTATAACAATCATAAATTATATGTATATATACACAGCCTTAAATATATTAGAACGACAGACTATATATAAAGATGGATGAAAAGTATCCACTTCCTCCAGTTGGACAAAAATGAAGCCAAATTATCCCAGATATGGGTGCCGCCAACTTTTGATTTCATTTGGAGACAGTTTCTGTATAAAAAAAACAACAATTTAGATGATTACACATTTGAATTTTATATTCAATTTCTACCCGTTGATCCCTTTCACCTAAATCTTACACACTGAACCTTTAAACCAAACTTTAACTCTTGGATTCATCAGTTTAATAAGAAGTACCTTAAATGACAGAAACCATTTTTATAAACATTTTTTAACATGCACTTTGACTTTTCAGTTTGGACACCAACATTGAGAATGACCTATACTGCAGCAGGCCACCAGGGGGGGATCAAGATGAATTTGGCTTCATTTTCAGGGGAAGCTTTTCTATCATCCATCTTTATATACAGTCTATGATCAGAACCTAATCGGAGTCCATGTCAGTTTTTAATGTATAACTTGTCTTCTTCTTTATCTCTGTCTCTTTTCATAGTTGGAAGATAAAAGCAGTGGAGCGCTCACCTCTGACTTCCTGCTGGCGCTCCCCTCCTCTTCCAAACCCTTCTCCTCCGGCGCCCTCCTGGCGATCATCTGCAGCTCCTTCTCCTCTGGACTCCTCTGACCATCTCTCTTCTTCTTCTTGTTTTTCTCGTCCTCTGTGACCTCCTTGGAATGATGCGGCACCTCCTGCTGACTGTCTCCCTCCTGTGCCTCCTCCTCTTGGGCCTTCTTCTTCAGCTGCGAGCCCTTGCCCCTCTTGCTCCATCGCTTCAGGTTCTCCCTGCTCCCTCTCTTCACATCCTCCTTCTGCTTCTCTTCGTGTTTGTGGGAGAAATGTGAAGATCTCTTGTCTTTCTCCTCTTTGTCCTTCTCACCTGACGTCTGCTCTTTTGATTTGTGTCTGTCTCTCTTTTCAGCCGATGCAGCACCTGGGAATATGAAAAATATAAAAAAATCAGGGTGCATTTTCTCACCTGCTTTCTTACTGAAACACCTTCAGCAGACCACGAGCAGAATCCTCTCCACCATCAGCAACTTTCCACTTCTTGTAATGAAATGCTTCTTGCCAGCTGGCAGCTCGGCCTCCAGTCCTGCTAGCTGTGCTTTATGGGAACTAACAGCGTGGCAGGAGCAATCAGATGACTTGGCCGAGGCTCCCTTTTTATAGAATAGGTGCATTGCATTTACCCTTTTAGCTCGGGAAAAATAATTTTTATGTTAATCTGCGGAAAGATTCGAATGCAGGTTTAATCTAAGTGTGATTTCAGAGATTATGCCGAATGCACGAGCTGCTCATTGAAATTCTAGGACGTGGAGACGTTTAATCATTTCTGTTGGTGTGCTGTCACTGTGCCAGCAATATCGGCCTCGCTCCCCTGTGGGGGGGCTGAATTTCATCTCGTAGATGGAAGCACTTCCATCAATCACCCAGCCCTGTGGTGGCAGCGGGGTTTCATCTACGAGCCAGTTTTCTTT